GAATCCATTTATTTTTTTATTGGAAAATAAAGCTAATCACAGAATAAGAAGATAAATATAAATTATATAGTATAGCATACTAATGATGGATTAGACAGACTCATTTTTTGCTCTGAACGCAGTAAGATTAAATTGGTTGAAATAGCTGGCTTACACATGAAATGATCTGTTTTCCAAAGCCTGGAAAAAAGAACATAGATTAAAAAGGTTTAATTTATAAAACATTTCCCTTGGACCTGCAAGTGAATTTTATATTCATAATCTACTAAGGCTTCAGGACAAGCTACCTTGTCTCTCAGGAACAATCAGTTATGTGCACAAGAAAGATGCACAGGGATGATGACCACCTCAGTAAACTGAAAAGTGCACAGTAACAACATAAAGATGCTCTGTGTAGGGGTCTAATTCATATGGCACACTGAACGAAGGCAAATGGAAGTGAGGTAACCTTTGTTACTTTCCATAGGAGAATGATAGAATCACAGAATTTTAGGAGTAGGAAGGGTCCTCTAGAGATCACTGAGGCCAGGACCATCCTAAAGCAGGTTCCCTACAGCAGGTCTCGCAGGAAATCATCTGGATAGGTCTTGAATATCTCCATAGGAGGAGACTCCACCACCTCTCTGGGCAGCCTGTCCCAGAGCACCATCTCTCTCCCAGTGAAGTTCTTCCTTGTGTTAGTCTGGAGCTGCCTGTGTTTCAGTTTGTGCCCATTGCCCCTTCTTCCACTGTTGCTCGCCACTGAAAAGAATCCTCCCCAATGGACCTGACTCTCGTACTTTAAATATTTTTAAATAGTGATGAGATCCCCTCTCAGTCCTCTCTTCTCTGGGCTGAACAGCCTCAGGTTACTTGGCCTTTCCTCATAAGGGAGATGCTCCAGGCCCTTGATCACCTTTGTTGCCCTCCACTGGACTCTTTCTAGGAGATCTCTGTCTTTTTTGAACTTGGGAGCCCAGAGCTGGGCACAGCATTCCAGACGTAGCCTCACCATGGCAGAAGTAGAGGGGAGGATCACCTCCCTCGACCTGCTGGCTGTGCTCTTTTAAATGCACCCCAGGAGACCATTGGCCTTCTTGGCCCCAAGGAGCACACTGCTGGCTCATAGCCAATCTGCTGTCCATCAAGATAAGCTCACTTTGTGTAATGAATCGTATTTCTACACAACATCAGCTTTCTGAAGCATCATCTCTTTTCTGAGCATCATCCCTGCTAACCTTGACTGGACACTTCTCAAAGCAGAAACAGGCTCCTATTTTAGGACTACATACATCATTTCAGCTACAGCTGTGTGGGAGGTGAACAGTGAACAGTACAAGCTACTCAGCTCTCCTCACTCCCAGCAGAGATGTTCTAGGAGCTCCATGCATCCAGTCTCTATTAAAATGATCATGGTTAGAAAGTCTACTGTTACAAGTAGAAGCTAGCACTGTTTGGAAGAAACAGTTTGGAGAGACTGCACATGCCAGCAGATACAAGTAGCAGCCCCTTCAGGTGAAGAAAGGGGGTGCTGAGATGTAGGTGGTGCGAGAGCTATTGTAGACATTGCAGAATAATATAGATACTGCAGAAATGAGGAAAACAAGAAGAAAGCAACCCTTACAATCCCACTTAGGAAGTCTGCATTTAGCTAGGAATCAGATAGCGCTTCCCTCAAAACAACATAAACATACTTCTGTCTGACCTGAGACCGGTCTACAAGACTCATCTGCAATCAAAATACTCATTTAAAAGAACAGCAGCATCAGTAGCCACCACCAGCATCAGCCCAAAGTGATTTTGTGAGGCAAGAGTAGTCAGTGGGCACAACGTGCAGCTTGCTCAGTCTGGCAGCGCAGTGATGGAGGTTCTGGGAGCTGCCCTGTCTCCAGAGTCCATTCATCTTAATCAACACCTCTAGGCACACTGCACTTCATCTCAACTGTGAGAGTCTTCCTTACCTAAATGTCATTTCATTTTTGTACCTTTTCTTGTAAGTTGTCAGCCCACAGACATATCTTTTTCTTTTAAGAATGCAGGTTCAACATGGGCCAAAAAGTGATTACACGCAACTCTGCTCAGAACTCTGATGAGCAGAGAGATAACAGTGTAGTAGATCGGATCCAGGCCATTTGTTTTACTACGTTACGCCTTGCAGGTGCTTAGTCTTTCCTGCCCTGTCCACCCTCAGCTCTTCCATTTCACAGCCTGAACAGAAGCCCTACACATAAGTGACTGAAGACAGGTAAGTAGCCCCACGCTGCTGTGACTTCTGTCAAATCATAGCTGCAGCGATTTAGGTAATCCAAATCAACACCACAAGCTGATGTGTGGGGAGCAGCACTCTAGCACTGCTGTGCTGAGTGACCCCAATGGTACCAGCACTGTCAGCTTTCCCAGCAGCTTTCTGACCTACTGAAGCCTACATGCATCAGTTCAGCAACTGATGACATAGGTAAAAACTTGACACATTCAGGCTGCTTAAAGGCACAAAACATATATTTATGTCCCAGGAAAAATCTCAAATTAAATTCCATTCAGAACAAGAATACGTTCAGCCAAGCTATTATTAAATGTTACTGCTGTTCACCGTGGTCTTAATCTGTTTGAAGAACATTTTAATGAACAGAAAGAAAAATACTTCAGTTGGTGGATAATATCCAGATTATAAGAAGGGACAGGGGAGTATCCAAAGGTTGAGAAGTCTATCACAGTTAAGCACATTAGGATGGACATTTACCCAGGCCTTGTGAGGCTGTAGCATTAAATTCGAGCAGCAAAAGGCTCTCAGAAAACATAGTCCATACTGCTTCAGTTCAGCCAGGCTAAAAATACTGCACTGCCTTGTGTATAGAAAATCTATCACTTTTCTAATATCCTTCAAGATTTCTTAAACATCAACAGTGCAAGACAGACTAAAATTTCTCTTTCAAATAAGATATGAATAAACCCCAGGATAAATTAATTACATCTCTTTAGAAAGACAGGTGCAGAAGGCCTGCTAATCTGGCTATACAGCATAGCTGAAACCAATTCTCATCGATAAAGACCCAACGGTAGCACCAGAGATTATTTACAACATTCTCATTCAAAGAGTCATTACCCTTAAAATGCAATGTCAGTATATATGGGTAGAAAGTACTGAGCTCAAAAGGTTCAGTATATGAAGGCTGAATACAGGCTACCTTCAGAACAAAAAAAGTCAAGCCAGACACTAGCAGTCTTGAGAGACAGCACTGAAAATTATAAACTAAGGGTTAGAATGATTTTTTTAAAGAAGTTTTTGACACCAGAGGAAAAAAAAAGCAAACTTTCTGAAACATTGGACAGACTATTGCTGTAGAACAATGAAAAGAATTTAAATAACCCATCTTTCTATCTTCTCTGCTCCTATCTCATACTTTATACTCCCAGGTTTTCAACGTTTTCACTGGACTGTTTGCTGGGGTACAGCAACTGCCAACACATCATTGCAATACAGCAGTAATTAATGGTCAGGTAATATTACTGCAGTCATTCTCTGCGGTTTAAGACAGAGCACACTGGCAGCTGATTGTTCCTTTACCTTGAAGACAGCCACTATTACACCGCATCTCATGATTCATGTTACCACTTCAAAATGTGTTTAAATCAATAAAGCTCAATTTTGTGACTATCTCTACAAAAACAAATGACCAGATTTGCTATAAGAGATACAGGAAACCAGATCCACTTTAGGAAAAGTGGCAAAACTGTCTTCTTTCTGTAAGTAGTAACTACTATCTGACTGCCCCAGTGATAGTGCTGGAGAAGCAAAAGGAAAAAAAAAGCCTATCCAAACGTTGTTTTGACTCTATCAGACAAGATCACCAAATCACAGAATCACAGGGGTTGGAAGGGACCTCAAGTCCCAGTCATCAAGTCCATCCCCCTACTAAAGCAATACCCTACAATGGGTTGCACAAGTAGACATGCAGATGGATCTTGAACATCTCCATTGAAGGAGACGTCACCACTTCTCTGGGCAGCCTGTTCCAGTGCTCTGCCACTCTTACTGTAAAGTTCTTTCGCATGTTTGTACGCAACTTCTTATTTTTAAGATGTGCCAGAACTGCCATGAACTCAAAAATGGATGCAGCTCTGGTTGGACATGATGACTGCCTCAGCATTATCACTGGTGATTTTCCCTTTAAATTTTTCACTTCTAAAAAAAGTTAATAAAGCTGTTCACAAACAAACCAAGGAAAATGGTAAAAGGCAGCAGCAATAAGCACTTTCATGCTCTACTAATTCAGAATTTGTCAGACATCTACGCAGCTGTCAGCTCAACTCCCCCATAGACCAGTGATCCCAGCTGATTTAAGCCTTCCTGCACTGATACTGGAGAATATTATGGAAGTAGCATTTCCACTCAATCCATTTATGCCTGACTACTTTGCTACTACAAGCAGTAAGACAAGTTGCCAACTACAAAATCATGTGAAGTCTCACCAGAGGAGTTTCAAAAGGAAAAGTTGAGACTACACTCCCACCATCACCACCAATTGGAGAAAATAGCCCATGTATTGAAGACAGTGGTACAGGTTCAGAAAACATTTTATCAATGTTAAACAATGCAACTCATGCTGAATTCAATGAATTTAGAGTAAAAACAAAGGAGAAAATTAGAAACATATTACAATAGTTGAAGTGTCAGTATCAAACAGGTTTTTACGAAAAGAATTCAAGAACACAATCAATTCAGACACACATCTTATTCTGGACAGATTTAAAAGTTAAATACGTGTTTAAGGATTATTCACAAGAGAGATATTCATGGAGTATCAGCAGCAACTCAGAACATTATCTGGCTGAAAGCATGTTATTATCAACAGCCAGATTTTGTTGTTGTGTATCAAAGAACCATGATAGTATGAAAGCTTATGTTTAAAAATCTGACCCATTAATGATCCAGAATTTTAATTATACTTAATTATACTATATTCTTTAGGCCTACACACACTTCTTACTGACAGAAAATTATTGCATACATATTACTTTACCTGGAATTTTATTTTTTGGGAAATATGAGGCACAATAAATTGCTTCAAGAAGCGTTCATCTTCACTCCAGAACAGTCTGATATCGGGGATATCATACAGGATCATGGCCAGCCTCTCTAAGCCCAAGCCAAAAGCCCAGCCAATTTTATCCTGAGCACCAGCTGCAACACACAAACAAGATAAAAATTCAAGAGATTAAGTTCACAAAATCAAAAGTTAATAATAAAATGTTCACCTATTTCCTAAGAAAAGAAAAAATGTGAAGTGCCAAGACAGAAATGCCTACAAGTAATCAGCAAATGAAAGATACACAGGCCACTGACATATCCCTCTTCAACCAAAATGGGCAGATCACCGGGTCCAGGAACTAAAACAGGTAATGAAGCTGCACTCTGTGCTCTCTGGTTCCAAAGTTTCAGACAGATTTTGAGAAAGGCTGCAGAACACTACAAACACGTTTCCCTCGTTATTCTTCAAGCTTAGCATTTCATGTCCAACTTGACTGTGTTTTACAAAATATGCAAAATGTGAATTTCCTATTCAAGATATTTTAAGTGGACTGACACACCAGCCAAGTCCATGCGGCATTAACATCATTGTCAGCATTTGAGGATCAAAATTGCCTCCGTTGAGGCACCTGGGAAAAGCAGGGCAGTGTGTTGCTAGGCCCTGTCACATTGGCATCGCACCTCCAGCAGGTTACTCCTGGGATGCTTCCCCTGGAGAAAGCTGCTGCCCCCATATACACAAGTCTCTTTTATGCAGCTCTAAACATAAAAAGACAAGAATACTTAATCCACAAGAGCGTTACAGATATTAATGATGCAACACTTCTGTCAGGAAATATTCATACCTTCTTCATTTACAGGGCAAGAGCGCTGAATTATTAAATTAATTTTTTTCCCATGTCACGAACCATACCCATGTTTACTCATCATTCCAGCAATTTTGAACTAAGTTGAGAGCCCAGCAGCTCCACAAAGGCTCACAGCTTTTTCAAATTTAAACAAATTCCTAAATAAACACTTAGGCTAAAAGGATGTGTACATGTGTGACAGGCTTGGACTCTTCCGCATCAGCATTAGCAGTGTGCATCCAAGTCATACATTACCATGCATCTCACGGCTGCCATAGAATCACTACAGAATTACAGAAACATTAATGTTGGAAAAGACCTCTAAGAGCATCTGGTCCAACTGTCAACCCATCCCTACTGTGCCCACTAACCACGTCCCTCAGTGCCACATCCACATGGTTCTTGAACACCTCCAGAGACGGTGACTCCACCACCCCAGCCTGTGCCACTGCCTCACTGCTCTTTCTGAGAAGAGATTTCCCCTAATATCCAACCTGAACCTTCCCTGGCACAAGTAAAGGCTATTACTTCTCATCCTATTGCAAGTGAACTAAAACAGGCAGACCCTCACCTCACCACAACCTCCTTTCGAGGAGCTGCAAAGAGCAGTAAGATCTTCCCTGAGCTTCCTCTTCTCCAGACTGAACAATCCCAGTTTCCTCAGCCACCCCTTGTAAGACCTGTGCTCCACATCTTTCAGCAGCTTCACTGCAATTATCTGGAAATGCTCCAGAGCCCCAACATCTTTCTCGTAGTGAAGGGCCCAAAACTGAACACATTACCCACCAGAGTCAAGATCCTCCCTGAACATCTCTCTGCTCCTGCTGGCAACACTATTTCTGATACAAGCCAGGATGCCATTGGCCTTTTTGGCCACCTGAGCATACTGCTGGCTCATGTTCTGCCAGCTGTCAACTAACATTCCCAGATCCTTTTCCACCCCACAGTTTTCCAGCCACTCTGCCCCAAGCCTGTAGCATTGCACAAGGTTTTTGTGACCAGAGTGCAGGACCTCTCACTTGGTGTTGCTGAACCTCATATAATTGGCCTCAGCTCATAACTCCAGCCTATCCAGAGCCATCTGTAGATCCTTACTGCCCTCAGACAGATCAACAATTCCCCCCAACCTGGTGTCATCTGCAAACTTACTAAGGGAGTACTCAATCCCCTTGTCCAGATCACCAATAAACATATTCAAGAGGACAGGCCCCAGGGCTGACCTCTGGTCATTATTAGTGATTGGTCATCAGTGGGATTTAACTCCATCCACCACCACTCTCTTGGCCCAGCCATCAAGCCAGATCTTCACCCAGCAAAGACTGTATCTGTCCAAGCCATGGGCCACCAGCTTCTCCAGGAAAATGCTGTGGGAGACTGTGTCAAAGGCTTTACACTAAAGTCTATGCAGACTATGCCCACAGGCTTTCCTTGACCCACTACGTGGGTCACCTAGTCACAGAAGGAGATGAGTTTGGTCAGACGGTACCTGCCTTTCATGAACCCATGCTGGCTAGGCCTGACCTCCTGACTGTGCTGCACATGCTGTGTGATCATGCTTAAGACGATATGCTCCACAACCTTCCCCAGTACTGAGGTCAGGCTGACAGGCCTGTAGTTCCCCAGATCCTCCTTCAAAAGTTTGTTATAGATGGGAGTCACACCGGCAAGACTCCAGTCATCTGGAAGCTCCCCTGTTGTCCAGAACTGCTGACAGATGGCAGAAAGTGTCTTGGCAAGCACTTCATCAGCTCCCTCAGTACCCTCAGGTCAATCCCATCTAGCCCCATGGACTTGTGACAGCCTGGTGGAGCAGCAGGTCACTGTTTCCTCCTGAAGGAATGGAGGGATTATTCTGCTCCCTATCCCTGTCTTCTAGCTCAGAGGGCTGAGTACCTTGAGGATAACTGATTAATTAGAAAAAGAAATAGAAAAAGACAGAAGTAAAGAAGGCATGGTGTACTTCAGCTTTTTCCTCATCCAGTACAGGATGGTGACTCTCCTTGGCACTCATGTTGTTAATGTATTTCTAAAAACACCTTCTGTTATCTTTTACAATGGTGGCCGAATTAAGTTCTAGCTGGGCTTTTGTCTTTCTTATTTTCTCTCTACTTATCCTAGCAATATCCCTGTACTCTCCCTGACTTGCCTGCCCCTTCTACATGAAGCAAAATCCTTTTTGCCAGGAGTCTCAGCAAAAGCTCCCTGTTCACTCAGGCTGGTCTTTCTGCACATCAGCTTGTCTTAGGGCACTTGAGGATGGCTGTTCTTGTTCCTTTAATATTTCCTTCTTGAGAAACATCCAGCCTTCTTGGATCCCTTTGCCTTTCAGGACAAGACTCCTAAGGGACTCTCCCAATCAATCTTCTAAACAGCCCAAAGTCTGCTCTGCAAGGTAGCAATTCTGCTGACCTTCCTCTCAGATTGACCAAATCAATAACTATCATTTTGTAGTTGCTATCCCCAAGATGGCTTCTGACCACCACATCTCCCACCAGTACTTCTCTGTTCATAAAAAATAGCATCTAGCAGGGCATCTCCCCTGGTAGGCTCTCTTATCAGCTGCATCAGGAAGTTATCTTCTACTTACTCCAGGAAACTTCTAGGTTTTCCTTTCTGTTATATTGTATTCCCAGCAAAAACCTGATAAAGTTGAATCCCCATGAGAACAAGGACTAGCAATTGCATGACTTTTGGCAGCTGCTCACACAACGCTTCATCTGCCTCTTCATCCTGGTGGGGTGATCTACAACAGGCTCTCAGTAGGACATCACTTTGCTGGCCTTTCTCTGATCTCTACCCATAAGAACTTAACCTTATCATTACCAGCACTGAGCTCTGCAATACCAAAACACTCCCTAACATACAGATCCCATTAGATCAACACTGTTCTTGCACCCTTACGTATTAACTTAAATTAATTATTTTTTTTCATCTTTGAACTCAGAAACTTCCCCACCATCACAAAGTAGGCTGGGGGCAGAAATCTATTTAGTGACAACTGTCTCTTATCAGAAAGAAGACAGTGCACTTATTTGGGTTTTGGTGGCTGCATTCAGTGATGAGGCAGAACAGTCCAGACTCTTTTTTAAATAACGGCAGGCATAACAAGTTTGGGAAAAGAGACACAGTCATCACTTTTCATTCTTTTAATTAACATGAATCTTCTTATTTACTCAGAATACCTAATTGATTTGTAATGCATTTTATTTCTGCAAAAAATGTTTAGATTTCATATCAGCAACTTCTTGGGAGGACTACATCACACTGCTTTGCACTATCAAACAAAAAACTACTCGTCTATGTACCTACAAACTCAAAGCATTGTCATCTGAGCTATGAATAAACAGCCATCTGTTGGATGATCCTTATACAATTATCAGAACACAAAATGCTTCAGTTCCAGAATTCAAAACCATATCAGTGAATTCCTTTCTATTCAGAAAGAAAAAATAAAAGTGTGGATAATTGGAATTTCTACTCAAAACAGCAATAACAAATTTCCTATACATCCCACATCTTCATTTATTTTAACTATGATCTCTTCTCCAACTACCTTTTTGTAAACCTCCTAGCCAATGGAGCATAAAATACGTGATCAGAAAAACTGAAGAACAGTCCTGAACATATTTCTGTTTGGAAATTAAAAGTTAACCTTTCTGGTGAGTGAGGCCACTCCAAACCTTTTCATTGTGAACACGTTCTATATACACTGAATTTTGATAATCAGGACATATAGAAGGTACATCTGTAGAATGTGTAAATGGATAAAAAGGAAAGTGAAGATGATGGAAAAGAACAAATTACTGATGTGCCAACTGGAGAGCAGGCTTACATGTTGCCAGTTTGAACTGGCAATGTGAATCAACATGAAAGAATGAACAAACCCAAATAACTTAAAGCATTCTGTTTAAGAGATGTAGCCAAAGCAGCAGATTCCAGGGACCTGGTGAGGCAATCACAGCGTCACTGCTTGAAATACTGCAGCCCAATGGATAAAGCATTCCTGACAATCAAGCTTTACCCAAATAGCCCTCAAAGGTTTGTACAGTGCCAGGTTCCTGCTGCCTGACATGAAAACCTTCACAAGAAAATCAGAAAAAAAAAAAAAAAATGCTGGAAGGTTTGCATGTCAGGTGGCCAAAGAGAGAAAAGGAAAGGATAAAACTATCTGACTGGCTTGCCACATTAGAAGCTGATTCAGTCCAATCTCACAAAAAGAAAAGGTTGCATTGTTGCAACTGTGTCTTACAAGAGACTCTGAGCCCTTATCTTCAAGAAGTCATACCTAAGTGCCTTGCTCTCAAG